TTGATGTGAATCATAAAGAATTCCATTTATTTCATCCATTTAGTCCTAAGATGTTAATTTTTATTTTGTTGGTCTTGCATAAGGTATTCCACTCCTACAAAGTTGTATGCTTTTTGATCAGTCTCTTGTTCAACTCTGTCCTTGTAGCAGGAAAGCAGTCATAGATAATAGTGACCCAAAGAACATGATTGCGTTCCAATTAATTTTCATTTAAAAAACCTGACAGCCAGTTGGATTTGTCCTAAGAGCCACAGTTTGCTGATTTTTGTTCTCGAATCCAGACTACAACCACTCTAGAATTCTGACTCAGTCACTTGGTCTTGCGTAAGGTATTCTTGCGTAAGGTTCAATCTAAGGTCCATGGTCAGCTCACAGGGCAACCTGGACCCGGGGTGCATATCCTGGTATACTATAGTCAAGACACCAGATTCAGCTCTTTGTTGATGTTCTGTTGTTATTTCTTCCAGAAGACTGCATTCCTGATCTTTAGCTTGGAGTCGATGCAAGGCAAAAAGAAATGTCATCTGTGTATAATGAGATCAAATGGTTCTAGTTAATCAACAAGAATGGAGGAGAGTGGAGTCTTTTACTAAGGTATAATTTGCAGTCAATTTGTGTGAGGGAAAGAGGACATTAATAAATCTCCAGGGCCTTCATTGTCTCCCAGTCAGAATCCAACCAACTGTTTTTTAAGCCTAGAGACAAAATTTAAATGAATGAACATCTTGAAAATTATTGTGTCAGTCTTTGCACATGAACATTTGAAAAACGTTTCTTTTCAAAGTGAAATGTGAGTATGACTATTTTTCAATAGAATCATTGAGAGATTTAAGTTAATACATTTTGCTTATAAATACTTGGTAAAGCTGAATGTTTCTTCATAAATAGGATGGCACTTATAATTGTGTTGAGATAATCAATCATTTGAAGAATGTCAAACATAGCTGGTTATTTTTAAATCTCTCTCCTTTTATAGGGTGAAAGAATAAATCTCCGTGTTACCCATGGCTATCTAAACAATCTGTAGCAGCTGGGGGTATGGCTCAGTGGTAGAGGCTTACCCAGCATGCATGAGGCCCTGAGCCCCAGCACTGCAACATAAAATAAAATTAAAAATCTGTCGATTGCTGCAAAAAGCATCTTTAAAGTCTTACTATTCTGAATATGGGGCCTGAATTTGGGCAAGGTAAAACTCGAGATGTAAGATGATATAAGATATGCATATACATAAGTATTAAAAGGTAAGAAAAAAGAAATATTTATAAATATTATTATAAATAATATTTTTGAAACATATAATAATAAAAAGCAATAATTAATAAAAATTAACTTTATCTAAAAAATAAATTTTTGTTAAAATATAAAAATATGCCAGACAGAATGCAGTAATGAATCATAATACAAAATTTTTTAAAAATCTAATAGAATATACTCCTGTTGTTTCAAATGGCTTTTTTTCTAAATGTGGTATTGTCATTTAAGTATTTACACAAATGTAAAAAAAATTAAATTTCTAAAACATTTTTTTCCATTTTCATTCTTTAAATCTGTTGATTTAAAAATAAAAATTGTTTCTCTTGCTAAAACTATAATTTGGGGTTGGGAAAGGATAAGGCTTTTGACTGCAGATTTAATTAATGAACTTGGTGATTAGGTTACATGATAAGAGGAAAACGGGATTGCTAAACAACTTCAGAGTTTTGGGCCAGGTGTGGAAGTGACTCTTGATGACTTGGGAGGCTGAGGCAGGAGGATCACAAGTTCGAGTACAGTGTCAGCATCTTAAGCAGTCCCTATCTCAAAATAAAAAATGTAGGCCTGGGGCTGTAGCTCAATGGTGGAGTGCTTGCCTCACATGTGTGAGGCACTGGGTTCGATCCTCAGCACCACATAAAAATAAAATAAAGGTATACAAAAAAGTGTTTAAAGGGCTGGGGAATGTACCTCAGTGGTCAAGGTCCCCCTGGGTTCAAACCCCAGTAATTAAAAATAAACAAACATCCCAACTAATGTGTAATTGTATAAGAAGAAATATTTATATATTTGTAACTGAGATGACTGTTTGGAAAAATTAAACTGATTTAATAATTTTGGTTTAAAAACAAGTCTATGCCTTCTTGAGTTTAGCACCTGCTGACGTGAGCACCATGTTCTAGTTTATACAACTCTTTATTTTGTCATGAAAAGCTCAATTATTTTGAATTGCCTAAATTTCACTTACTGTTTTTGCTGATCATATAACCTAACACTAATTTATTAGACATTTTGAAATTTCAAAATAAAGTATCCAGCTAAATTAATTATCATAATCAATATCTTATATAGGAGACACATTTTTAATAATACTAAAGATCACATGGACTTAATGTGTCAGCGAAAATTATAATTTCTTTTTATATATATATTTTTAATTGTTGATGGACATTTATCTATTTACTTACTTATATGTGGTGCTGAGGTTTGATCCCAGTGGCTCATACATGCTAGGCCAGCACTCTACCACTGAGCTACAACTCCAGCCCTAAAATTGTAATTTCTAAGATAGGCACTGTGGTGCATGCTCATAATCCCAGCTACTTAGGAGGCTGAGGCAGGAGGATCGTCAGTCTCTGAGACTCAGATGCTGTCTCAAAAGGAAAAACATTTTAAAAAGGGCTGAGGATGTAGCTCAGTGATAGCTCTGGGTTCAATCCCCACTGCTGAGAAAAAATTGAGATTTTCAGATCTTTAGTTAACTTTAAGAATTTAAACTAACATTTATTTGGGTAAATAATCAATAATGTTTGGATATTTGAGCAACATAGTTCTAAAATACCCCTGCTATTACTTAATAACATATAGCAGAGGGACCAGTAATAGGCTGGATAGCTTCTATAGAAACCTCTGGATTACGTTAGTGTATATACTAAATTTTTTCTAGAAAGGTGGGCACATATGCAAGATAATCAATGTTTTGTTTATGAAAGGGAAAATGGAATAATTTTGTCTTAAACTAAAAATGTTCTTGGTAAGCCAAAACATAAGAGAAAATAATAAAAGACAAATTTGAAGTTGTACCATAAGTTCAGGTGGCCTAAAGAGACGTAAACTTTAAAATAGCTACAAATAGTGAGTTTAAAAGGAACAATGATCTGCTCCCTGGTGCCATGTCCTGAGCTGCTTTCCTCTGCCACATCCTTCCCCTTGATGTTCTGCCTCACTCAGGCCCCAAGGAATGGAGTCAGCCATCTACAGACTGAGACCTCTGAATAAACTTTCCCTCCTCTAAGGAAAAAAAAAAAAAAGAAAGAAGCAATGACATATGTCAAATTAGTTTAATAAAGTTGGCTGGACATTGATGAATTTATTCATTCGTATTATATTCCTTTCTACAATCATTAGTATTAGATTCTTTATATCATTTGCACAAATGATTTACACCAAGAGTCGAAATTGAGCTCTGGTTGTTTATAGAACCTCTTCTCAATTAACATAAGACCCTTTTATCATCCACATACATGATTCCCTCCAGAAATGGATCAATTGTATCAATTGATTTGCTCAAAGTCATTTCATTTTTGGAGAAGAGGTAATTTTATCACTTCTTGTGCCTTTTTGGAGGAGCTACGATGGAGCAAAAGAATCTAAGGCAGAAGTGGGCACCACCTGCATCTGTTCAGAAGGTTGATCCAGGCCTGGACTGTCGCTCAGTGCTAGACCACTTGGCCAGCATGTCCAGGGCCCTGGGTTTGATCCCCAACAGGTGTATCCTAACCCCAAGAAAACCCCAATACTTGATTAGTGAAGACAGATAATTAAACACTATTAGGTCTTTTTATTTTATTTTAGTTCTACTTAGTTATACATGACAGCAGAAACACCATGAGGTCTTTTGGAGGGAAGTATCACTTGAACATCTGAGTAATTTGGAGATTTTCTTTTTAATTTAGCAAGACAATCCCTTAATATCCCTAATGCTTCCTAACACAATGTCTCCTTTTTAACTTTATATTTAAAAAAAAAAAATCCACAGGGACATTACTGCTTGAATCATTTGATTAGGGAAATTAAATAAAAGCTGATTTGTCTCCTTTCATCTTTGGTACAGGAATTTCACCTCTGTAACTATCAACAGCTATTGGGACCACAGGGACTTTAAAAATGAGAACTTTGGGCTGAGGAAGGAAGCTCTGAGCTGAGAATAAAAGGAAAGCTCCTGTTGGCCACGAGACATGTAATGCAGAGAATTCTATGAATTATCCTAAAGACACCAAACAAACTTTTAACCTTGTATTCTTAGATGCAGAGAAGTATCAGAATTCTCAGAAAAATACATTCACCCATAAAGACTACTCAGGGGAATCAGATTCCAGAAACTTGGCCCGCTGCCCCTGACGGAAGTCACTTAAAGCCTGGTCATTGCCTCAAGCCCAGGTTCCACTCTTGATGCTACCCACGTGGGCCCCTTGGCCATGTGCCACCAGAGCCATCACCAGGAGCAGACTTGAAAATCATTGGATGAGCTGTCCTCAGAGGAGTGAGAGGAGGGTGAGCAGGGCTTCCCAGGGGCCCAAACATAGAAGGGTGCACTGTGGGTTCCATGTGTCTGTTGACTGCATTGGTAGGTGCCAGGTGGCCCATAGCTAAGAAATAAGCTATCAGAGGAGGACCAGGGACTAGTGCATTTAGAAAAGGAAAGAAAACATTCACTCACAAAGTGTGAACACAAGGAGTCAGTGGGCTTTCAGATGGAACTAGTTTCAAGTACAAAGAACAAGTATTTAAAGGGAAAAATCCAAAATGGCCACGATTGTCATGTTTACATTAGTAACGCTCTTTGGGGTGGAAAACAGCAACTCGTTCCCGTGCTCCTCCTATCCACTACATATCCTCAGACTACAGCATAGCTAAACTCAGGTCAAACTGCTTTTGTTAAGGAATCACATTTCTGGGAAATATTCAAGTCTTCTCATTTGGGGGACTAGAACCAGTCAGGATTGGTATAAAGTGATTGACACGTATTATGCCAGCACCTCATGCTGCATCCTGGAATGGAAATATTGGTCGTTTCTCTTAGGAACAACAAACTTAACTTGGAGAAGACTAAGAACTTGCCCAAAGCCATGCAGATTTCACGTGGTAGAACAAGACTTGAGCCAGACTCGGTTCTTTCCACACTGAACAAGTGGGTTGCATAAGAAAGGCTGCCCTCGTGGGGAAGATAGAGGAGGAGAAGAGGGACAGAAAGACTATATTCGAGCGAGATTCACAAGGCCCAGTCAGACAATGGAACTCAAGAGTTGAAATCGCTGCTGTCCCAGATAACTGTAGAGATCTTGCCAAGAAAGGAAGTCAGGAGCTAACTATAGATCAAGGTAGGAAATCGGTGGGTCTCTGGACTCTGCCTCTTCTGGTCAGTTATCTTCCATTCTTCCTATTGTTTCCCTGCAGTGCCTGGTGCTTAAACCCCAAAACGGAAAGGGACAGGTAGGAAGTGGGTCGCCAGCCTCTGTCCAGTTCTGCAACTAGTTCAGGAGGAGAAAGAAATACCACAATATGGTGTTGGTGTGGGTAGTTTTGAGAAAATTTAAAAATAAGGGAGGAGGTGGATAAATTCCTGCTGCCATTAAAAAAAAGGAGAAAAAAATGTTCTTAGAGCTGCCTGAGACCAAGGGCTGCCACACAGATTCTTCCAGGAAAGGGTTACTGAGCCCCCATTAGGTACCAGATGCTGGGCTACGCCATGTCTGGTGAGAAGAGGGCAGGAGGACCCGCTTTAGTTTGGAGGGTCAGGGGACCTCTCCGAGGAAGTAGGCTTAAGCTGAAGTCTGATGAGGGGGAGCGAGGCAGGCCAAGAAGCGGGAGTCATCTAAATGGAGGATATCACGTGCAAGGTCCCAGGGAGGGCCAAGCAATGTGGCTAGAGTAGACTGAGTCAGGCAGAGAGAGGCAACAGGCGGGTGCAGAGAGTGGTAGGGTGCCGCAGTCTGGCTGGGCACAATCAGGAGCCACTTGTCAAAAGAAACTAACTTTATTTTTAGAACCACACACGACAAAGAAAATAGTCTCTCAGGAAAAACCCTCAGAGCCTCAACTGCCACCACCGGCTTTCCCCAAGCCTCTCTCTCCCACACAAGCTTCTCACCACCTCCCACAATCCTCCTGCTCTTGAGGCCGATTGGCTGGGTCACGTGGGCGGAGCCAAAAAAGTCCCCCAATGAGCAGCTCCGTGGTCTGAAAGGGCAGGGAAACAGTCCAATGAGCATCACCGCAGAGGAGCCAATCAGCTAGATGTTGCTGGGGCTGCTGTGAGCCAATCGTCAGCCGGCAGCTGGAAGTTTGCTGGCAGCTGGAAGTTTGCTGGGGCCCCTTCGGCTGTGGCTCTCAACATCTCCCCCTCTCTGTTTAAACAACAAGCATGTGGCTTAGGGACCGTGCCTGTTAGGCAGTCCAATTCAACATATGGTCCTTACCCGTCATCGGATGAACTGACCTCTAGGCGTCAGCCTCCTGTCTTAGGTTGGTACCACTGCAATTGGATCATACCCGTCACTGACTACCGGTCCAGCATACAGCCATACTTGTGGATAAGCCTTTGCACCTGTGGGGGGGTGAGGTTCTTTGCCTCACCTCTGTTGGCCCCCAAATTTTAGACCATCACTAGTAGAGGAGGATGCAAAATGCCATGACATTAAGCCAATTGAGGGCTCCTTTGAAAAATTGTACCACCGGTGACATCATCAGCAAAAATACCCCAACACTACCATAAGTCGCTGCACCAACAGATAGTTCACAATGCATACAGGTGAGCTCACAATGTGTCTAGGCAAGTTCTGCAAGCAGTTCAGTGATGGCTATTGTAGAAGCTGTAGATTGGTTTTATCTTTGACTTCACCAGCACTGGGATGAAGATAGGAATTCTGGCAATAATGGCTAAAGAAAAAATTATGTAACATTTCAGAAGGCACTAAAAGAAAACAATTTTCTTAACAATTTACATTGTCTTCACCGGCACTGGGATGAAGATAGGAATTCTGGCAATAATGGCTAAAGAAAAAATTATGTAACACTACAGAAGGCACTAAAAGAAAACAATTTTCTTAACAATTTACATTATCTTTAAGAGAATTATTAAATATAATGAAAAGGAAAGGTAAAAGTAAACAAACAGATCTGTTAACCTTCTTTTTTGTTTACATATTAAAACAATCCTCAACAGTTGTTTACCCAATTTAAATTAAACCATATAAATCACGTGAAAAAAAAATATTTGGATCCATTTTATCATGAGCGCTCATCATATATGATATATGGACATACGTACATTCAAACATATAACACAAAACACAAGTGTGCACACATAATATAATACATACAACACATAACATTATAGTAAAGGCCTTATAACATTTTACAGGTGAAATCTCCATTGCAATGTTTAAAAACTCTATAGTCAAAAAATAGAACTGATCAGCAAAACATTAACCTAGGTCTGTATGAGCTCAAAAAACAAAATAGAACTTCATGATATGGCAAAGGGCAATAATAAAATAGATATTGAAAAAAGCATCCTGGTTCTGTTGCAGATGTAAGAATAGCCAAACTGGAGTTTTGGATATCAGTTGTTATGGATTTGAGCCAAATCATCTTCTTTTTGGTCTGTAGAAATCGCTTTAGTTAATCTTTCTGGAATCCAAATCGGCTGCTGTTCTCCCTGTGGAAACACATAAACAGACCCCCGACTCCAGACAATCACTGGGTCAGGACCTTGGTTAATCTCTCTGGAATCCAAATCGGCTGCTGTTCTCCCTGTGGAAACACACAAACAGACCCTCGACTCCAGACAATTACTGGGTCAGGACCTTTCCATTGTCCTGTTAGAATATCCTTCCAAAGTACCTTGGGCTTATGTACATTTTTTGGACATATATGCCTTTCCGCAGCACTAAGTCCTGATGAATCCAAATTTAAAAAGTTTAGAGTAAAAAGGGTTATTTTACATTTATCTTTGGGCAATATATACCCCTTCCCAATTCCTTCTTTTTGCTTTAATAAGTACATTTTAATAGTTTGATGAGCTCTTTCAACTATGCCTTGTCCCTGTGGATTGTATGGGATTCCTGTTATATGAGTAATGCCAAATGTTGAGCAAAATTGTTTAAAAGAGGTAGAAGTATAACCAGGGGCATTATCTGTTTTTAACTGTTTTGGAACACCCACAGTGGCAAAATTTTGTAAGCAATGAGCTATAACATCTTTAGTTTTTTCTCCGGCATGAAGGGAGCCCATCAAAAATCCAGAAGAAGTATCAACTGTAACATGCAAATATTTTAATTTTCCAAATTCTGGCAAGTGTGTGACGTCCATCTGCCAAATATGGTTAGGTATCAATCCTCTAGGATTGACTCCAAGATTAACTTGTGGTAAAAAGGTCACACAATTTTGACATTGTTTTATTATTTGTCTAGCTCGTTCCTTAGTTATTTTAAAACGCTTTTGTAAAGTATTAGCATTGACATGGAACTTTTAATGAAAATTTATAGCTTCTTCTAGTGTAGAGAAAATATGTATGTCATGTGTAGTTTTATCTGCTAAATCATTGCCCAAACTAAGGGCTCCAGGCAATCCTGTATGTGCCCTGATATGTCCTATAAAGAATGGATCTTTTCTGTCCCAGATTAGACTTTGTATAGTGGAAAGCAAAGAGAAAACAGTAGAAGAAGGGGAAATCCTACCAGCATCTTCAAGAGATACTATAGCATTAACTACATACTGACTATCAGAAAATAAATTAAATACAGAATCTTTAAACATCACAAAAGCTTGTAAAACTGCATTAAGCTCTACCTTTTGAGCTGATTGTTTGGGTACTAAAAATGTAAAAGTTTGATCAGGGGTAACTACTGCTGCTGTACCATTATTTGACCCATCAGTGAATATATTTGGAGCATTTATGATAGGTGTTTTTCTTGTCATTTTTGGAAAAATTACAGGATGCAATGACCAAAAAGACAATAAAGGATTAGATGGTAAGTGGTTATCAAATGAAACATTAGATTTACACATGATTATTGCCCAAGTACTTAACTCATTAGCTAACTCATCAATTTGATTCATAGTATATGGAGTAATAATTTTATTGGGAGAAATTCCAAACACTCCCTTTGCTGCTTTTATTCCTTTGAGTATTAATTGTCCTACAGCCTCAGGATACCTAGTAAGAATAGTGTTAGGAGAATAAGATAAATGTATCCATAATAATGGACCTTCTTGCCAAAATACTCCTGTAGGAATATTTTTTGTTGGTAGTACAATAAATAATAAAGGCAAACTTATATCAATTCTATCCAAATGCATATTTTCCATATATGTTTCAATGATTTTTAATGCCTTTCTTGCTTCAGGCGTTAACATTCGGGGTGAATTTGGATCTGATGGACCTTTTAGGATATCAAATAAAGGTCCCAACTCTCCTGTTGGTATACCTAAATAAGGCCTTATCCAATTTATGTCTCCTAATAACTTTTGAAAGTCATTAAGTGATTTGAGTTGATCTACTCGTATTTGAATTTTTGGTGGACGGACCATGGTTGAGGATAATAGAACTCCTAAATAATTAATTGGAAAATTTAATTGTACTTTATCTATTGCTATCTCTAGATTATAATTTTTTAATAAGTTTGTAAGTGTGGCATAACATTCTAGCAATGTGTTTTTATCTTTGTGTGCTAATAATACATCATCCATATAGTGAAATATTTGTAGTTCAGGATTTTGATTTCTAAGTGGCTGGATTACTTTGTTAACATAAATTTGACACATAGTTGGGCTGTTAGCCATCCCTTGAGGGAGTACTTTCCATTCATATCTCTGATCAGGACCTTCATGATTCAGTGCAGGGATAGTAAATGCAAAACGTGGACTATCCTCAGGATGAATTGGAATTGAAAAAAAACAATCTTTAATATCTATAACTAAAACATACCAGGTTTTTGGCAAAGCAGACAACTGAGGAATCCCTGATTGAGCAGGTCCCATAATAACCATCTCATTATTAATGGCTCTTAAATCTTGCAATAATCTCCATTTACCAGATTTCTTTTTGATGACAAAAATGGGAGTATTATGGGGAGATACAGAAGGTTGTATATGTCCTTCTGCTAATTGTTGTTTGACCAGGTCGTGGGCTGCTTGTATCTTTTCTTTAGTCAGGGGCCACTGAGGAACCCATACTGGTCTTTCTGATTTCCAAGTAATTTTTATTGTCTCAGTGGCCCTTTCTGAAAATCCAACCCATGTCTGTCTGTTCCTTGATCTATTTGTATTGGTGCTGCTATACCTTGTTCTTGTTTTTCTAATCTTTTTCCTTTCCTAA